ATACCAGAAATGACCACAAGCTGATACAGAACATGGACCTCAATTTAGATTAGAAGAGGGAGGATACATCTTATTTCCTTCATGTAAATGCTTTACCAATATTCATTACTTTCATCTACAGTCCAGCAGTTTGTAGGGCAGTTCATACCTTTCGGCACCAAAAGACCTCAGACTAAATCGTGATTACCGTTTATTTGTTCACTGACTTAACCAGTCTTTCCTAGAATCGAAAGTATCGTACCCGTTCACGATTTTGCTTCTTGTCTCGATTACTATTGCATCAATGGTGTTTCTAATTTGGAAAAAAAAATCAAACATGTAGATATTGCATCAGCAATGAAGCATGCTTGAGAAATTTCAATGTAGAGTTAACAGAGACTGCTTATTTCTAAAACTTAAGCTATACAGAGAGAACACGATCTCGTTTCAGCTTACTTTCTTTAAAACTATGTTTCTATTTCTAGCTTAAAACGTTTCATTTCTAGTTTAATATGTTTTAATGTTTTTTTTAGCGAATTTAAATGAATGTAATAAATAACATTAATTTAAATTTATTTAAAAATGAATGCAACAAATCCATTGTTTGTTACATTCAAAATGGTTTTAAATGAATGTAATAGATCCATGAATGTAACAAATGAAATGAATGTAACAAATAACATTAATTAAATTTATTTAAAAATGAATGCAACAAATCCATTGCTTGTTACATTCAAAGTGGTTTTAAATGAATGTAACAGATCCATTGTTAAAACGGTTACTTTCTTTAAAACTATGTTTCTATTTCTAGTTAAAACGTTTCATTTCTAGTTTAAATTGTTTTAATGTTTTTTTTAACGAATTTAAACGAATGCAGCAAATAACATTAATTTAAATTTATTTAAAAATGAATGCAACAAATCCATTGTTTGTTACATTCAAAATGGTTTTAAAAGAATATAACAGATTCATTGTTAAAACGAATTTTTAATTGAAAAAAGTGCCATCTTGAAACAGAAAAAATATTTTTTCGGGAACAGAGTTCTGGAGATTTAAAAAAAGATAAAGAATACAAAGTTTATTAAAAGAATGAATGAGTAAAAAGAATGAACGAAAAGACATGTAAAAATAATAAACAAAACAGATATGCCAAACGAAATAACAAAAGAAAAATTTTATAGCGGAAAAAAAGGTAGAAAAAAAGCCAGATGGTTTGTCCAAGTTGAGGAAAACCTTTTTTTTTTAAATTCCATTTCATAATCGTCGTTGAGCAGCGGACTTAATTTTTTCAGTTTATCACTACCAATGTTCAGTCTTGTAATTTTTTACCCAATCTAGAAAGCAAGAGAACTCTTGGATCAAGTATTGGGATTAATTTGTCTTCGTGGAAGACTTTTTGATGGAATTAACCAGCATTTGCGTTGCATGGAGAGGAAAACCACGAAAAACTCCCACGGTTAGCCTGATGGCAAGGGGACTAACATATGATTGGTCTACCACTGAGTATATCTTGCGTCAGCACTGTGGTCAGTGCGATCCGGGTGCGGAATTCACATCGACTAGCCATTGCTGGGATTCGAGACCGGGTCATTTCACTTGGAGGCTAGCGCTGTATCCCCTGAGCAACCACGGCTCAGATGTTATGGTTCTAAAAGTCAAGAATATGAGAAAGATAGCCGATTGGAGAGTGTATTGAAATTTAGTGGTAGCCATTGCCCGCTAAGAGCTGTAAAGAAGAAACTAAAAATGCTTGGAAAATTTGTTTGGTCACAAATGAAAGCCACGGGAAAAAAGCAACGGGACTAAATCGTTATTTTTTTTAAAAAAAGGACACAAACCGTTCTTTCGTCTTGGTCTTCAAATGTAAGTAGTTGGAGTAAAATTAACCCGCTAAACATTAAAATAATCAAACCTTTATAGTACCTATCTCTCTATTAATATTTGAGCTAATTACTACTTATGTTCGAAAATAAATTTGAGAATTCGAATCAGTGTAATATTTTACATATTTAAAATTTATAGTCTTGATCACTATCCAGAGTTGCTGCCATTTTTTAGGTTTTTTTTTCAAAATTCTTCAGAATTATTACGTTATTTTAGAATCACTCAGTAGTACTCAATTTTTTTTAGATAAGCCCTCATTTCTGACGTTGTCTCCACACACTAGTTACGACATTAAAATATCCAACTACAGAAGATGTTGTAAAATTGTTTTATGATGATATTATATAGAAAATCACTATCAAAAGTAATAAGAGTTAACAGGGCAACTAACACTTAAATGAATCTCTCAAAATTTAAAAATAAAATTCGACTATTTTTGGAACTATAAAAGGCATTAGCGATTACAATTTGTTTTGCTATTACTAATCATGCAAATTTTAAATAATATTTTATTTGTAATACTTGGGTAATTGCATTACAGTAAGTCAAACATCCATGACATTACATCCAACCATTGCATTACAGTAAGTCAAACATCCTTTTAACGACCCCACTCCTTAAACATTTTTTAAAATAAATTAAAAACTATTTCTGAGATTTTTTAGTTCAGGTATTACAATGGGGATTTGTATTATAGTTCAGATCAACTACGGCTAAGATTGAAAGCTCCAAAACAGAAAGCGAGTCGTTAAAGGATGATGGATAGTAAATTAGTTACCATGGCACAGAACGAAACAGTTTAATTTACTTTGCTGCACAATTAGAGCGATCATTTAAGAATTTTTTAATCTTCAGTTCAGAAAGAAAATTCGAAATTAAAAAAGGAAATTCTTATTCAATGACATCGCGCTTTGAAATATCACATTTGTAACGAAAGGTCAAAACGAGATCGAAATTTATTTTTGCCGAAAAAAAAATATTAATCGCGTGAATGTTTAGTAGATTCATTGAAACCAGCAACCTCATTTTGTTCTATTTTATGCTATTAATCTGGAACACTACCATTCGACCCCGAGGTGACAAAATTGATCTATGCTGGTCCACACCCTGTGATGTTATGATGTATAAGATACACGTAGAATGATGAGCAAATATTCCATGAAGCATTATTAGATTTTATCGGATTGAGGAGATTTATAAATCGTATCATTTTATTTGCTTTCGGCATTTCCTTGTGTGGGTTCATTGTAATGGAAGTTAAAAACAAACTCAAATTTCTGCAACTAAACTAGAAGATCTTTTATTTTGTAAATCTGTGTTTTTTACTTGATTATATTTTTGAGGGAAATAAATGGAGAACTTGCGATGGAGCACTGTACTCTGACATATTGAAAAAATTTCGATCCACTTTTAAACAAATAAACATAATTTTGCAAACAAAAAATTACTTGCTATAAAATGTAGAACTAAAAATTAGAAGGAAATATTGTCTACCCACAAAATGTTTGAAAGCAAAAGTTATATTTAATGAATAAAACTTTATTCATTAGTAGATATTAGTATAAATATTTAACCACACGATCGTTATTTTTATTAAAAATCAGAAATTAAGTAAAATTTAGCCCTCTTAGAACTAAATCTTCTAATTCAAGAGGCTGGGTGGTATTTAATGATTAAAATTTTGTTTAGCAAATATTAGTATAAATACTTAACCACACGATCTTCCACATTTTATTCAAACTCGGGAATTAAGACTACGCCTTCTTGGAATTAAATCCTCTAATTCAAGAGGATGGAGTTAAGTATATAAATACCTTTGCTATTACTGGAAAGAGTAGATTTTGTTATGAGACAATGAAAACAAAATCTCCGATTTAAGAATTCGTGTAAACTATTATTTGATTCTAACAAAAGAATAACTTACGCTTTCATCCTTACTAAATGAAATATTCATATTTTGTTAGCGATGCAAGCTATAAGTTTTTTGCCTTCTATGGTTCATAATGTTTCTTACACTTTCTGCTTATAATATTTAAAATAACTTTATGTTAGTAGTTTACTAAAAATAGTTTCAGATATGTCAAAACTTGTCCTGGACTAAGCTTAACTTGAAAAGTATCTCAAGTTAGGCATTAAAAAAAAGTTGGCCGTGAAAAGCAAATATTCATATTAAGCATATTAAATAATATTAATGTGTAATGCATTGTAAAAATATTAATGCTATGAGAAAAAAAACTTTCGATCTGCATACATTTATAAAATTTTGAAGCTTTACAGGTTGAAAGTAATTAGGCTAAATAAACAGTTTATTTTTTAATTTGTCAAATCAATTAAATTTTTAATTAACCTTAGTTGATTTATTTATTTTTGCATTTATAACTTCCTGATTTTTTAATAAGAAATCGGCATTTTACTAAGGATATTTGCTAATAGCAATTTAAAAAAAAATTTTATTCGGAATGTACTGTGATATTTTCTAGTTTCTTTTTATGCATAGCTGATATATTTAATTAGAATATTAAAAATTTGGAGTTGATTCCGTCAAAAGAATCTAATAAATTCTCCAATTTAAAAAATTATGATTAATCCTCTAATATCCAATTCCCAATGATGTTATGTTTACAAAATTGTTTATCTATAATAATATTAGGCAATATTAAGAATTAGCAGAAAATATTTAACACTATTAACGAGAAAAAAAAGTTTGGGTATTCCCAAAAAATACAATTTAAGATGATTCAATACTTCAAAATATTTTAGTATCTAGGTTCAATAGATTCTAGTTATTATTATTATTTTGCTTTTATAAATCATATATTTTTAAACTCGCAAATAATTGATGAAATTCTTCAATTACGAAAAAATGCTCTTGGGGGGGGGGGACTCAATTTAGAATCATAACATTACATTTTAGCAATGTTATCAATAATTTATTATAAACACAATAAAAAATACTTATGCATTCATAAAATATAGGTAACATGGTTTTCGTTTTTAAACTTAAATTAATTTTCACAACAATCATCAATTTAAAAAAAATGTACACTGAATACACATGACTCGTTGAAAGAACTATTCTGCAAATTATATATATTGATTAAATAATAAAATTAAAACTTAAAGAAAAAATTTCATACCTAAGACCTAATAGTATAATAATCTATAGCACCGCAAACCAGCTTCTAAGGTCACAATCCTGTTGATAAGCGCAAACACTGATTTAAAATACCGCGGAAAATAATCACCATCAAATTTTGAGTTGCCATAACCCATTCATAATTATCAGTTTGCATATTTCAATCCACTTCTTCTCGACAATGTGAAAATTGGCACATGAAAAACTTGTCAAATAAAGAAAACACGTAATTTCTAAATAAATATTGGCACATCTCACAGAGAACGTCGTTTTAGAACTCGTGTGAAAATGCTGCTTAAGATAGACCAGCGGTCTACAAACAAGGAAATTCAGGGTTACATAGGTTTGGAATTCACTGTCGCCAAGCCAAGTGAAAGTTATCGCCAATGATGAGTATTTATTTTTTCGTTTTGATTATGAGAGCATGGAAAGAGAGGAATGAATACCTTGAATTATTTGAGATTTAGGTATTTTAAACAAATGACTCTTGTGCTCTTCTTTTTTATTTCTATTGTTCTCAATACCAGAAATAAATGAAAGTTTTAGAAATTTTTTGGGAGATATTTCGGCAAAAAAAAAAATATTATTGTTCAGGTGAACTATGCAAGAATATCTGTACTATGAACATTTCTTGATAAACGTGCTTGTTTTGCTATTATTGTTTATAGGAAAAATATCATTATTTTATTATTAACTTTATATGTGAATCATTGACATATCTAGAGGAGGGAGGTTAAATTTAAAGGGTTAGGGCTAAGGGTTAATTTGAAGGGTTAAAAATAGTTAAAGGGCTTTAAATTAAAGAGGAATTTAGGAAATCAGAAAAGCAATTATGAAATCAGTCGTTGGGACTGAAATAATTGATTTTATCAGAAAGAAACAAAAACAACAAAACGTCAAAAAAGTTTAAATTTTCATAAAAACTAAATACATATTTCAAATACATTTATATTGTCTAAATCAGCGGTTCCCACTTTTTTTCGGTTACCGAACCCTAAATGTGGCAGGGACAGTCCGGTTGATAGGGGTTTGGGTCAATGTCAATGAGATCATGAGTTCGATCCCTGTATGCCGAAAACTCCATGTGTAGTAAATTGTGACTGGTGCATGTTAAAACTGTCGGGTCACAAAGTCCTCCAAGTTCCCATAACAAATCAATATCTCTAGGCTCTAGGTATACTGAGTTGGAGATTGAATCGTTCTCCGGTTCAGATCAAAAGGACGATTTGTGGATGAAGGAATGAATATATAAATGGGTCCTCCCTATAAACGAACGTGACGTATGGGTGTGGCAGAAGTCGAATTCTTGGCCAAAGATGGCGCCAATGGAAATTGAGAACAATCGCCCCCCCCCCTCCTCTGCCTTATTGGCTGACGAAAGCAACTAGAACCGAAACCTAAAACTCTAAATAATCGTCCGTCCATCCGCGGAACCCCGACTTTATAAATAAAGTTTATTAAGGTGATTATGAAGGTTATAACCTATAAAAGACTATCTTTAAAATATTTAACTAAAGATATGAAGATTTTTCATCGTTTTATCATGAATAATCTTAAATTAGGTATTATTTCCGACCATTAGCCTAGTTAGGAATTTGTTTTCTGACATATATATATATATATATATATATATATATATTGTTATTAGAAATATTATATTTTCTTTTAAATAATGCCATTCCTATTTCATTGGCATTTTATTAGAAAAAATTTATAAATTCAACCGAATTAAGATGAAATAAATTACAATTTATAGGTGGCATCTGAATATAAGTATATGTTTTAAAACTCATATCTGGTTATAAAACATACTACCAATTGGGTAGTTCCCAATTGGGAACTGCTGGTGTAAATGATCACATTTACATTCATTTACATAAAAATATCATTTACTTGCATTTTTAAGTAAATTATCGTATATGTCCGAAGCAACAACAAATGCTAGCTTTGAGTTTACGATTACGTTTCTTCTATGTTGAGTTACGTTTTTTTACGATTAAATACTTGAAAAACTGCAGAAGTAGGGTAAACTAACCAGTGAAGGAACACTTAAGCTCCGCTTGCCTTTTAAAAAATCATATTAATTTCAAAATTCGTAATTTTAGTTAAATGACAGTGTCAACATATTTGTTACTAATTGCAAATTATGTAAAAAAAATTGTAGAGAACTTACATAATATTGTTTTAAAGTTTTGGAGGTTCAAATAAGAAGTAGTAAGAAGACCAAGTGAAGGAACAGCTCTTACCAGTAAATGAACACCCAGTAAATAATTTTAATTAATTAATTAATTTTGGTTATTTTTTAATGCTCTTTATGAATTTATAAGCCATACAAATATTTAAAAACAAGCCTATTCTTGAAATTATAACATATAAATACTTGGAAAATGCTAACTTTTTTTT